CCTAGTGGCAAACCTGGTCGCCTAGGCAAACCATCGGAAGGGGCTGGAGAGTGAGGGAAGGTTGGGGATAGTTGGCGAGACGTTTGCTTGGCGACTCCTGGCATTATTGGCCCGTGCCAACTGCCCAGATAAATGTCCTTTCGACCTTTACCCCCTTTTCACGAATTTCTGTCTCTGTTTTGGGGGGTGGATTTCATCTCTGTTTTAGTCGGTATTAGGAGAATTTGCCGAGTGCCTCACTTGGTTTGTGCTTTTCATACTGGTGTCAGGGGGTGAAACAGTTTGCACCATGTTTTGGAGTTTAGCTATGTTGGAAGAGAATGGGATATTGGAATTTTTGGATGAATGAGTTTGATTAGTTCATCAACTGATAGATTTCATAATTATTCAATCAACATTTTCACGCATTAGAATTCCTATTTTTGAGGTTAAAAAAGATGAAAATGAGAAATTGGCTTTCATCTTCAATTTCGTTTAATACGATCCTCTGGATATAAGTCTAGAAGTACCTCAATATATAGGACAAGACCTTTATACAGTACATATGGACCCTAGCCAGACGCATTGAAGGGTGTAACGGTCGAAAATGCCAGAGGAAGTGTGGTAGGAGGGGGATAAAAGTGCTAAATGTGCAACTTCTGCTTGGTCAGAGTGGGGCAAGCGACGTCAGCAACGTTTCTTCGGATACTGGGGAGATAGGTAATGGAGCTAAATAAAATTTTCCTCAGACTCAAAAGGTGAGCGGATAAATATTCCATTTGAGAAAGTAAGTTCAATAAAATTTTTCCATCAACGAAACCATTTTCTTTTTTCTTTTTTTTTCTTTTTTTTGTGCTGCAGAAAATCTCGGGAATTTCATTTCACAGAAATTTGGAATTTGAGAAAACCATTAGTATACTGTATGAAATCGTTGTGCAGCGGAAAACCGGTGAGGGTAGGTAGGGGGTGAAAAGCGATGAAAACCGGTGAAGCGTATACGCAACGTAAATTGAAACAAATGGGAACTTATATGCATCGTGGGGCTTTTCCGTGAGAGTTTTACTGCCAGCTCATTTCATCTTTTTCCACTGGTGCACCGACACACAGTTTTATCGGCGGTATAACCGGGCTACGGGCTGTTATTGTCACCTAGCCTTTGGCATTTTATGTCTTTTGCATTTAAACAAATTTTTCGAGAGGAATTAATAGAATTATCACGGTAATTAATGCGCAAAAGTCGTACTTCTAACTGAAAATATCCTCGAATTGAAACTCAAAAATACATTGTGAACGCTCACAATCGCTCACAGACGAATATCTACTAAGAGCTACTCAGGCAATATGACATTTCGAGCTGTCAAAATCTCTGGAATATTTCCTCTATTCACCCCCTACCCTCTCCCCTCATATCAATCTCACCCCTATTGATTTCCAAATCTGGCGTTTAAAATGCTTTGAAAAACATCTTAACTTTTTTTTTCTTTCGATGTTTGAGTCTACGACTCTCAGTTTTTCATCCCCAATAGTTCCCCCGGAAATCCAATGTTAAACAACAAAGGAAAAAGCACAATTATTCATGACGAAATAATTGTCCCACCGATGGCGTTTATTTATTCATTCATTCCCGTCGGTGATTCATTAATTCATCGTAGAGTTGTTTTCCTCCTCTTCCCGAAAAGTATAGGTCGAATTTTCCCCCCTCCCGAAAAAACTTTTCCCCTGGAAAACAATAGCCCAGGGATGGCCCGAGTGCTCCAGGGGGCGGGTATTTCCTGTCTGCGCGTCTCTCGACCCATTCCACTTTCTCATAGACTCGACCTCTTTTCTACGGACCCCGAAAACTCCCGGCGTCTGTTCGACGCCGATAGCAACTTTACATCCATGGACGATAGTTTAAAATGTTCTTTCTGTCAATCTACCGTATTTTTATCCTTTACTTTTTACTCCTCGATTCTTCTTTCATTCGCAACCTCCGCAAAAGGCATTGAGAATAAGTTTTTTTTAATGCTGAGAAAAGGTGAGGATTACAAATAGAAGTGTCAGGAAAGTTGGTGACGGAAAACATCCGAAATTAATTGGTATTTTTTTTATTCATAAAAAATTAATTAGTTCAGAAACCGACATTGATTTGCCATATCAGAGGTAGCAGTTACCACTGCGGTAACGGCCTTAAAGGGGAAAAGCTTTGTGATACCGAGTAGGTTATAGACTACGGAGGGGTAGTAGACGCAGTAGTGAAAGGGGGGGGCGAGGGTAGCCAAGTTTGTCAAAGTAATTCGAGCTTTCATCGCACCCGATTCCGGTCACGTACTTCCGACGCTCTTGTCCTTACTCCTTATTATCCCCCATATCCTCGCCCGCGTGATAACCGGTCCGCCTCCTGGTAACACTCACACCCATTTCTCTATTTCTCTTCTCCCATCCTTATTCTCACCAATTGAACAAAGGAGTTACCTCATACCATGAGGACCGTATGATCGTAATGCCAAGTGTAATGATAATAATTCAACATTATATCACGGATTCATATGGTTTTATTACGTCAAACAGATTTCACGTTAATACGGATTTGGGGGACTCGATAAATGCAATTTGAGTGTTCAAAGAAATTGATGAAACGCTCACGATCAGATACTTGAGATTCTGAGCACTTGAAATTTATTTGAAATGACAGGAATGAAAATGAAATGGTTAATGATTTTAGTCAGCCACTCAAATCGCTCACAACGAATAATTCTCAAAATTATTCGGATTAAATAGCTTTGATCTCGGAACCCGAAAATTTATCACTCTTTCACAATTGTTCTATTTTAGATGTGAAAAACCCATCGGGATAGAATTAAATGCTCGAAGAATTTGATGAGCCGCTCAAAACTGTTCATAGCCGGATATGTTTTGATATACTCAAGATAATTGAAGTTTCGACCTTTCAAAATCTTCAGAATTTGTCCACTAATATTCCCTCGCTAATCTCATAACTCTTCAACCGTTCCAACCCCCAAAATTCATCAATTTTCCGAATGTGTAATCATCAAATTCATCGTAGATACAGAACCCCAGATAATTATTTTCTCACAAAAAATCTCTAAAATTACATGATATAAATAGAGTTCTGAAGAGAATTTAAATGCTCGAAGAATTTGATGGGCCGTTCAAGATTGCTCATAACCGGATATGTCTAGAACTACTGAAGATAAATGAAGTTTCGACATCTCAAAATCTTCAGGAATATTAGTGGAAGAATCCACTAATATTCCCCTACTAACGCCATCCCTTCTCGCTCATAAACTTCATAAATTTTCCGTATCTGCAATCATCAAATTCTTCACGGGTACAAAACGTCACCGTTTTACGACTTCTTAAAATCACTCCTGATGATGCAGAAAAAGTAATCGACGCGTAAAAAGTCTCCCATTCGTGGTAGATAATAATTTTACGGTTAACGCGCAAGTAGAGCAACCCCTTCACCCCCTCCCCTCCCTTTAACCTTTCCTTATACTACAGATGTATACATATAACCAGCCTGAAAAAAATGTTTTTTTCCTTCTTCCTCCCTCATCCCTTCTTCATGGTTTTTGCGCCTTTTTGTTTGAAGAGAGCGGGAAAAAGGAGGGGACTTTCGAAGCTTTATTAACCGCAGCAGCCACGGCACGTCCCGGTGGATTTCCGCGTCGGCGAGCGAGTAAAATTTCATCCCTTCTCCGCTCTCTATATAACACCAGTGCAACCTGGGTATGAAAACCCCAGGCTGAACTCGTACGCGTACACATTCTAGTCGTTTTCTCACCAGCCTCGTGGTTATACTTTGGATAAGATGCCAGGTTTTTGGAAGAGAAGAACTTTTTTTCAATTGTGGAATTTCATTTTTTTTTATTTTATATTTGTCACTGTTATAGTTTCAATTATATTTTTTTTTTCAATTGAAAATTTGGGAATATGTTTACAAGTTATTTCGGTTGGAGAAATTTTCTTCTTTATCAAACATTCAATGTCAATTATTCAAAAAATGGAAATGTAAAAAAGTCATGAATTTGGTTCAAAATTTCGCTGAATTCACTCAACTCAACAACTTCTCTCCGTCTCTAAAAACTTCCATTTTCCAGTAATTATAACTGACATTTGGCATAATCCCAACAGTAAAAACTTTCTATTTATCCCAATTATTTTTTATACCCCGAAAATTCCCTGAAATGAATGAAAATAATTAAATTCATTGAGTTTTATGGGATTATGTTGAGAAGCTGGTAAAAAGCCCGTTGAAATCCAGCTTATCTTTAATGACCCATGTACATGGAGTAAAAAGGGGGATGAGGATGCATGGGGAATTCGATGTTGACTATGAAATTCTAGCGCTGAAGTGTGAGGGTGTAAAGGGAGTTTGGGAAGGGAGAATGGGCAGCGTCAATCAGGGTGATTGAGGGCTCCGACTGCGGCGCATAACAATTTACTCTGAAATGACTGACAACCATACGCACCACTCGGCCATAATCAAGGCAGAACAAACATTTTCGTGGATAACTCATTCAGATTTATTCGAAATTTAATTAAAAATATATTCACATGGGAAATTATAATGATGTTAATTTTTCGAGGAAAAATACGTGCATTCGTCGGATTTTGAAGAATCTTGAAATTTTGTAGTTTTTATAACGCATTACTTTTATAGTTCTCAAAATAATTTGGTAAAGGGTGGAAATACGACTCAATTGCGTTCGACCTTTCTGGGAAATTTCCTCCTCTACAAAAAAGGTTATATGATATTTCCTCGTCACTCCAGTCGTTAGCGAAATAATGGCCAATTTATCAAAAGAGCAAGGTTTAATTACGTCTACGAAACAGCATGAGTTTGATTGCGATATATCTCCGTAAGGAGTAGACATACGACGAAATTTAATTGAACCTTGTTCATGGGAAATTGTATTTTCTACAAAAAAAGTCTAATAATATTTTATCGTAACTCTACTCATTCTCGAAATAATACCAAAATTATTGCACATTGAATTTGATGGCTTGTTACTTACGATTGATAACAGCTAAAATTCCTAAACAGATGATAATCGATCTGATCGACATTGCCCCGCGTCTCCAAGTTGTTGACTCCATAATCATCCGTTGACCGGTGGTACCCTTAACGAACTCATGGATGAGTTACTCCCACCCAAGCCCCCCCGGGGCTTTTGTAGATCTTTATAATCTCTCAATTGCCCACCCCCATCAACTGCAATACCACTCTCAACCAGAATTTTCCAGATTAATTGATAATTAAGCCTAATTGATTATCAGATGATCGAATTGAAGGCATTCGACGCTCGAGCTAAATCCCTTCCTCTCAACCCAATCCCCCTTTTTTTCGTCGAGGATAAGCCAGAGAATCGAATCGGCTTTTACGAGTGTTACTCTTTTTTTCTCTTCGTTTTTTCTCTTCCAAAACTCTTCTCAGATTTTCTACCTCTTCTCTCTGGATTTTTTTTCACTCGGCTTTGCAACTTGACTTAAAGTCCTTTCCACTTTTCAGATAAAAAAAAAATTGGGAAATAGGATTAAGTCTTGAATTTTTTATTCCGCTTTTCGCAGTTCTTAGTAGATCACTTACATTTTCTTTTCACTAGAAAATTTTTTCGATTTTGATAGGCTGGAGATTTTGTGGATGAAAACAAGGGCTGATCGTCAATTTTCGGACGATATTTTCAGAGACAGATTTAGATATAAATAGTGCGCAAAATTATCATCAGTTTTTTTTGTTTCCCTCTTTTAAATTTGAATACTCAAAGAAACTCAAGAATCGCTCATAATCGCTCACAACCAAATATCTTCAGGACTACTTGATATAAATAAACTTTTGACATCTAAAAATCGTCAGAATTCTTCCCCAGATATTTTTCATCCCACCCCATGTTTCTACTACCCCGTTCAACCCCCAAACTTATCAGATTTCCACCTCCCAAATAGATGAATTCTACTAAAATTTCAATTTCCCCCATTCAGATTCAGACCCGTACGATAATTGAGCTGGTTTTTAAAAATCAAATTTCAACGCCAAAAAAAAATCTCCCGTCATCTGTCAAAAATGAACGATGCGAAATTGATGGAATTTATGTGTTTTCAGTCGGAAAATTTTCCAGCCTTTCAACTCCACATTGACCGCTCCCCGACATCGCTTTCATCAAGAAAAAAAAGTGGACATAAAAAAATCGCCAAACATGAACGCCAAAATTCCCCCCAAAAATCACTAGGTCCTCCACTCACCAAAACAAGAAAAAAAAATTCAAAAAGTTTCAAATAATTCGCGCGCGTAGCGATACCCCGACTTTTCCAAGTCTCTGGGGAACAGTTCCGACCACGAGGAAAGAGCGGCACGCACTGGAGCGACTATCTCAAGCCGGAGAACACGTTTTTCGTCTCCCCACTCTCCGTCATATCCCCATTTCGGGTACAACCCCCTTGCGCATGCGCACAATTACCACAACAAAGTGGGTGATGAGGGCTGAAGCGAGGGAGGACTGCACAAGGGTAACTTGTACGTGAACAAAAGGGGTGGTGAGAAGGGGGAAAGGGGGAAATATAAGCATAAGAGACTTTGGAGAAACACTGAGTAGAAATGCGGAGGTTGCGGCAAAAGTTATGACCTCAAAGGGGTCGTTAGCTAGTCGCTAGCCAAATTAGTATAACCCGCTGTGGCAGTTACACTTGGGTCTTGAGATTTTCGAACTGTAGTTCAAATTTTCATTTATCAAATGGTGAGAATCACCGAGTGAAGTGAAATTGTAAGACATCTAGTGGACAAAAAACCTCATGTCAAGTGATTATCTAGATAATGAGTGGTCGAGCATCTAGATACTATTTAGATTCCGATTATCTATATTTCAATAATCAACTTTCAAAGAACTTCATGCATTATCTAGATATTTAGATATTATCTACATGCCTGTGATCTATTTTTGTCTTATTTCTCAATTGATTTTTTTCCCCACACGGAGAGAAATTTTTGATAAAAATTATCGTACCGTTCTATAAAAGTGTATTATGAGTCATCGTTTCCTCATTTCTATCCCGACATTTAGTAAAAATTAATACATGATCAAATTTTATTCTACGTTAGAGAAATTTTATCCCGATAACAATAAAAATTACGGTGCCGGTAGAGTAAAAATTACTGTACCGGTAGGGTAAAATTTGCGAACTGTTCTAGAATTTTCGTTGCTATCTACATAAAAATTATTGGACTGAAAGGGTAAAATTTATTATGCGTCAGGATAAAAGTTCTCTAACGTTGAATAAAATTTGATCATCATATATTAATTTTTATTAAATTTCGGGATAGAAATGAAGAAACGATGACTCATGATACACTTTTATAGAACGGTAGGATAATTATTATCAAAAATTTCTCTCTGTGCAGTGTATCACCAGAGACTTGCTCATTAGAACCCCAAAACCGATTCAAATCGTGGGAAATAGCCAATCGGTCTGTCTTGTAATGAATAAAGCCCCCTTTCTCCCTCACTCCAGTTGAATTTTCTACAAAACGTGCAGACACTTTGATCGCCGGAGCGTCGAAGCCGGTAAGAGAGTACTGAGCTTCCTGTTTCATTTCAATTCTGTTTTACTTTGCCCGCATATCGATATTCCCATCCTATTCACATTCCTCTTTGCTATTCCAATAGCCTGTACTTACTCAATTCAACTCTCCTTTACCCCAGGCATCATCAATACTAATATTACATTACCAAAAACGATACAAAAGCCGTCCGAGTAGAATTCATTCGAGTAAAGTAATCTGGAAATCATGATTTTTGGCTCTGGTAAATTGACCGTCAAGTTGATTGATGAGAATGTTACTTGGGCAAAGTACAAGTTGATTAACGCGAAGTACATTTTTTCAGACTGTACTTGCACTTGATTCAAGTTTATTTGGATGAAATATACTTGAAGTAAGTGTACTGGAAGAAAGTATACTTGAATGAAGTTGACTTGAATGAAGTCTACTTAAATAGATTAGCTTCAAGTTTACTTGTGTCTAGTAATAAGTATATAAGTGGATCAAGTGTACTTGAACAAAGTATACTTCATAGAAGTGTACTTGAACCAAGTATCCTTAAAGCACTGAATTTAAGTATACTTGATTTAAAAAATTGACACCAAGTACACTTGCATTGGATATATTCGCGTCAAATGTCATCGCAACTTCGACCTGACACTGATCACTTCTTCATCCCTCAATTTCAAAATCCTTCCACCCTCTCTCCCCCCAAAAATACCTCTTTCTCACCATCTCCAAACGTACCAGTTGGTCGAATCGCTACATACCTGTATCGAGCGGGCCATAAATAATGGGATCCGGGAGCGCGTTTTGTGTTACCATATACACTGAAAGCTCCATCGTACTCTCCGTTACCTTCCATATCCATTCGAATATGCGTTACCCAAATCTCCATATGTGCAAATAAACAGATCCTTTACCCCACAACCTCATTCTATCCCCAGTCCTCTCCCCAAACTCTGTTTTGCGTCTATGTGACTCGGTGTATGAAGTACAAATTATCCCCTTCTGTTTGTTTATGCAGTGTAATATGTTTTTTTTTGGGAGGGGGGAGGGTAAATATTCTCTTGACATTGTCGGAAATGTTGTTACAATGCAAACATAATTAATCTCACTTGACAATTTTTAATTTGAAAATAATATGTTTCTTGTGACACAATGTCTTTGCAGACATTAACGCTGTTTTTGCTGGATCGTAATTATCATCACGTGATACTTAAAAGAATCATTCTCGTCATGATATCCATTCCGTATCTAGATGGAATCTCAATCTGTGTTATCTATTTATCTTTGTTATGGATTTTTCAAGATATTCACTTTTTTTTCTCCATGAAAATTTAAAGTCACCTAATAATATTATCTATTAATCTAGATAGAATTCAAACGTCTGTCAGCTGCTCATCTCAATTATCTATTTCTCCAGATACTGGGATTATTTTTCCACTGAAAAAATCATGTTATCTCACGTCCATATTCAAACCATTTCGATTTCTCGATGTTATCTATTATCTCAATTATCTATAACGAAAAAAGCAGAAAAATTTTCTCTAAAAATTCTTCCAACTTTTATCACATCGTAATTATCCACACTTGGTAATTTAAAAAAATTATCTTCCCGGTAATATCAACTCTCCGTCCCTCTACAATTATTTAAAACAATTCCAACACTATAATACGTAAATTCGTTCACGGTCATTTGCAATTTCGATTAATCGGATGTTTTATACGCCTATCCCCCTATGGGGATCACCAAATGAGAGCCGGAAAGCCAGGGAAAGGGCTCCATTGGGGGAAAGGGGGTGTACAGGGAGTGGGTAGTCATCGCCAGTGGGATAATGCCAAATGAAATCGTCACAATAATCGTACCACCGAGCGTATATACACTGTGGCGAGGATAAGCCCCTCCAAGTACCTCATGGTCTATGTTCTCATTCACCCCCTTCCCCCCCCCTCCCTCCCCACCTATTCATTTGATCAAATTGTATTATATCGGAGCAATGTGTGTATCAAGCATACGTCCGTGTAAAGAGAACAATCCGGCAGATTTCGCATTTCGAAGTATCCCATTTGCATATTGAATCGAATGGATAAAATTCAAAAATTGATAGTTTTTAATTTTTTTATTTTTGAATATCAGAGGAGAGAGAGGAATTAATTATTCCATTGGCAGGGGGGAGAAATTTCTTTTGCGCTGAAAAAGTCAATGTGACGATCCATATTTCCGCAAAATTTCCGGAGATATTTCAAAAATTAAATTTTGATAGTGATGCCATGAGACATTTCACGAGACATCACGAGACAATATTTTGGAGGGATTGTCTCGGTCTCAGTGAACAAGGAAATTTTTGGTCTCGTTTCAGTTTTGAAATGCGCAATACACGAAGAGAAATATTCAATAAAAATTACCAGAAAAAAGACGTAAAAATTACGTTTCAAAACGTAATCTGGGAGCGAAGTAAAATTCAATAAAAAATGTCAATCGTCACGTAAATTCTACGATCTGATCCGTAAAAATTACTCATCCGTCCGACGCCTCACGGCTAGCCATGAGTCACCGTGAGGGGGAGATTTTAACAACACGTTCCGTAATTTTTCCGGAACTTTTCGTAAAAATTCTTAAACATCCAAGAATTTTCATGTTCTGAGGCATAATAAGTCTTGAAGTTTCTGTTAGATTTTACAACTTCCAGAAAAATTACGTGACTTTTTCCTATTTTTTCGGTGACAGACCCGAAAATTTACTGAACGTATCAGATTTATTCTCTTATATTCCTATAGAAATTCACTGAAAACAATTCTCGCTTGCGGATTACGTGAAATGTTCCGTAATTTTTCTTGAATATTTCTCTCCGTGTATGGACTCCTCTCGTGATGTCTCAGCGTCAATTTATCTCATCTTGGTTTCCAGTTTTTTGGGTGTTTTATCTGTAGAAAACTGAGACGACACAAACCGAGATTTTACGTTAAAAAATACGAAAAACTTGAAACCGAGATGAGATATATTGACTCGGAGTCATCACGAGAGGAGTCGATACTGCGTATTTCGAGACTGAGACGGGAGCAAAGATTTTCATGTTCATTGAGACTGAGATCATCTCTCCAAGGTATTGTCTCGTAAACTGTCTCGCGGCATTATTAAATTTGGAGGTGAGAAAACAAATTTACCACCACTGGGACAAAATGGATTCAAGACCAGGGTTTTCAATCGGAAATTTTCCCGGTTATCTGATGACATTATTTTCATTCCCGAATTTTCACCCCCACCCCCTGAAAAATTCATTTTTCTCATTGCAGAATCGGCTGAGCGTTATTTATAGAGCTTGTGGTGGCTGTCAAGCAGCTCATCCAAACAAAAGCCATCGCCTATATATCAGTAACGCTCCCTCCTGCCTTGTATTAATGGCAGTGGGCGGGATATTCTCGAGAATGGGAGGGTAGTCCTCCACTTAACGGCACTAAAGTGTCAGGTAGCACCCGGAGTCTCTGGATCCACTGGCCGCTCTATCTGGCCAAGCATACACCAAACTTTTCACTTAACCTTCTCTCCACTCTTGCCTCTACCGCTCTTTCTTCTGTCGCTTGGCGCTTACGCCCGGGCTGATACGTAGTCCACTTGTACTACTGGGGCCGTGTCGCCTTCTACGACGACTCTTCGATACTTTGCTCTCTACAACTTTCGATACTGAAATCAATTCACTTGTTTTTTTTTTAAATCAGGGGGATCATGTTGAGAGCGAAGAGGGCGATATAATCCAGGCTTGGAATTTGGGGATTTTTTTATTCAATGGCTAGAAAAATTACCATTT